GGAGAGAGAGAATAGAACTAAATAAACATCACGTGTCGCCCCCACATGGGAATCAAGCCTTATAGGGGCATCTGTGCCCCTTGATTTAAACGGGCTGCTAAGGCATAGCCAGCTCCACCTCAAATCCGGCTGGTCATCTTTCAAGCCCCCGGTTGGCAAAAACATTTGTTTCCCAAAGCATAGCAGGAGCCATCAATCCCAGGACTTCAGCAAGGGTGAGGGGCCACTCCGTCCGCTCAGTCTTTCCTGTAAGGGTGCGTGGAATCTTTAACCCCTTCACCCCCAGGATGAAGAATGGGGACAACGGAGGTCTTGTCTGGGCCCTCCCATGGCGTAAACCAAGGGCAACAGGTTCCATCCGATGAGTCCACAAGGCAAAGCCAGAGAGGATGCCTGGGGTGTCTCAGGGAAGAGTTACCCAACAAAACCTCATGGAGGTGCTGACACTGGAAATCAATTAACTATGTGCTGTCTACTCAATTCTGACTTATAGAGAGCTTTTCTTTTTCAGGGTTTTCCAGGTAGAGAATACTCAGAAATGGTTTGCAATTTACTTCTTCTGGGGGGCATCCTGGGACTGGGCAGCTTGACCCCAAGGCCAAACAAGGCTAGCTCTTTTCCCAGGAGGCACAGGGGGGGAATGGAACTCCCCATCTCTGGCGTTGCAGCCAGACACCTAAACCACCGAGCAATCCAATACAGCTTTTTATGGTGGTGAATTGTGTCTGGCAATTATGAAGCCATAACTGTCAGACAGTACACATACGTTTTGCATACAACCAGTTCCCAGGTTGCTCTCCAGTGAAACCAGAGGTGCAAATCCTGGTGGCCTTTCAGATGCTGCTGGATTCCAGTTTCCATAGTCTCTCACCACCTGCCATTGTTGGCTGAGGCTGATGGGAGTTGTAGTCCGACAACCTCTGGAGGGAAAGGACTGAAGGATCAGTGGATGCAGGTAGATGGCAATTTCAAAAAGGCCTCTAGATGAAATCTTTCTCTGGGAGACTTGTTGCCAGTAAGACACGAGAGTGCCCTTCTCCAACTTCAGGCCCTCCGGAGATATTGGACCACAACCTCCAGGACAGACCTCTTTGGCCTCAGTAAAAGAACAAGAAAATGTTGAGCAAGCCCTTGTGAAATGAAGGGCAAGCTGTCATAAATTGCCTAGCTTGCCCCTCTGATATTGGTCACTATGTGTGATCTTTAGCTTCATCAGTGGTGCCGTGAATCTGCTTATCTTTTTACTGATAACTAGATGTGCTTAACTTTCTTGTTAATAGCAACTTTTTAGGTGAACAGATTTGTACATTTGGGAAAAGCAGAGGCCTTGCACAGCAAGGTTTGGCTCCCAGGCCTGGAGAGTCCCTAGGGAGCCACCAGCGGCCTCCGCAAACAGTCCTTCGCTGCAAAAGGGTCAACAGTCTCCCTCTGTACACAGCAGCTTTTAGAGTCTCCAAATCTTAAGGAGGATACGGTGCCTGGACTTTTCGAAGAGGGACCTTTAGTACACATAGCTTTCCTCATCCTTACAGGGAAAGCTGCACTGTGGAAATTCCTTCTTCTTTGAAACCTTACCAGACCTCCTGTGCATCAGGCACATCCCATGCACAACCTGCTTTGACGGTTTTAACAATGGGCTATAAATATTACCTTTCCTAACAAAGAAACAATGGAAGCATGATGGGGCTGGGCCTGCCATTAGGCACAGTGCAGTGGCCACCTCTGTCAGCCAGGCAGTGGCAATTTGCTGCCTTCCCCTCCCAGAGAGCCCCCCTTGGCCACTGCTGCTGTCTCGATTCCCTCCCCACTTCTCCTGCCCCATCTCACCAGGATGTTGCTCCCCTGCCCCCTCTTGCTTGCTCATCATCTGTTGGTGCTGCTCTCCAGTGGTGTGGTGATGCATTTGAAAGGGCAGAGGCTGATCATGACAGTCCCTGCATCAGCCTCTTTCCTCCCAGGAGAGTCCAAGCCTGCAGGCAGACGGGTCAGCCCCTGTTAGCAAGCAATACTTTGTATTGAGGCAGGGATGGCTTTGCAACAAAATACTGAACCTGGAGAAATCCATTTCTTTCCCAGCCACTGTGATTATTATAACGAAGCTCAGGGAGAGCAGGAACCTGGGTGGGGCAAGGAGTTCCACAGCGTGGGCGTCGCAACACCTGTCCACACAAGCGGCATTGGGATGTGTAAGAGTGTCGTGCCCGGTGGCCTGAAGGAAGGGTCCCGTGGGAAACAGCGATAAAAGAGGTTTGTCCCAGGCTGAGCCAGGAAATCCTTCTGTTGGATTCATGTCTACCCTGCCTTTTAGCCTTAAAGGCACTCAAGCCACCAACATGAATACAATACACATTAAAAGCAAAATATTGATTACTACATAACATAGAAACCAATATATTAAAATCAGAGTTAAAACAAAACAATAACATGGTTGTTGTGGGTTTTTCAGGCTCAAAATGAGCCCAAAAAATCTACAACAGCCATCAGATCACGGCCGTGAAAGCCTTTGAGAATACATAAAACAATAACACTTGATGGCAACAGTTTCCCTCTCTTGCTGTTTAATCCCACACTCAGGCCTGGCCCCATTGACAACAGCAAATCTTGCCCTTCCTGGAATTGCATTTCCCAGTATGAAATCTCCGGTTTAACTGAATCCTTTCATTCATTCAGTTTTTCAAAGACATGAATTGAGTCACTCTTTTTATCAGTTCCACAGATGTGCAACAGTTGGTTTCTGATGGCCAGAATCCTCTTGGGGAATTCTGGTGGCATAAGTGTAATTGCATAAATCACAGCTGTAATTCACTGTTAATGAATGAATTGCTGCTCTCATTCTTTATTGCGCTTCAGGGGTCACATAATTGGCACAAGGCTAGGGATGCGACTTGTTACTTAGCAGCGATTCACTGCTTTGATGTATGGAGCTCCACTAACGCTGGTGTAAACCCCCAATAGTTTATGCAGTATGTATGTATGTCATAGGTTATTGTGCTATTATTCGTTATTCTCAAACATCTGTATTTGATATTTGGAAAGGACCAAGTGATGTGTGTGTGTGTGTGTGTGTGTGTGAGAGAGAGAGAGAGAGAGAGAGAGAGAGAGAGAGAGAGAGAGAGAGAGAGAGAGAGAGAGAGAGAGAGAGAGAGAGAGAGAGAGAGAGAGAGAGAGAGAGAGAGAGAGAGAGAGAGAGAGAGAGAGAGAGAGAGAGAGAGAGAGAGAGAGAGAGAGAGAGAGAGAGAGAGAGAGAGAGAGAGAGAGAGAGAGGTATGACAAGAATGTCTAAACCATGAAGGGAAATAATTTATTAAACAAGAATAAGAAGGAGAGAGTCCTTCACAATAAAGGGTGTTTTGAAATGTGCAGAGCAATTGCGGTGACCCAGTAAGCACATGGCAATTTCAATTCGGGGACTTCCTGGTTCACACAGCTTTGACATGAGCACTTCCCCCACAAAGAGATGTGTATGCAGAGCTTAGGATGAGGCAAATCATTCTTGGAGGCCATGAGTTTGGACAGAGGGCTGCCCTGCCAGCCTCCTGTTTTTTTTCCCCCTTCACTCCCTGATCCTGGAACCAGCAACGACTGCGCCCCGTTGTTTATTTTATGAGCTGAGAAGCTTCCCAGATTTCCATTCCCTTTGGAATGGGGACTCCAGATGCTAGGCGAGGAGTGGCTGGATAGGAAAGGCTGCTGAAGCAATACCTGGTGAGCTTCCTGGTCCAACCCAGTGTGGCAATCTGACTCATTTACATTTACATAGTACTTCACTTCCTTGGCCCTCCTCCAACAAGAAGGGCCTCCAGAAAAGAAGCAACCAGGCAGATCCACACACAGCTGCCTTTCAGCTCCTTGCAGGATGTGGAGAGAGCTGCGCTCAGTAGCCTTTCACCGGGCTGTCTTCACAGAGTTCCTGGTCACCGCGCTCTTCGTCTTCTTTGGCCTTGCCTCGGTGCTGAGCTGGCCGGAGCCCCCCTCCATCCTACAGAGTGCCATCACCTTCAATTTGGCCGCCGCCACCGTCGTGCAGATTGCCTGGCAAGCGAGCGGAGCCCACGCGAACCCGGCAGTGACGGTGGCCTTCCTCCTCGGCTCTCGTATCTCCTTGATGAAAGCCGCCGGCTACGTGGTTGCCCAGCTGGCCGGAGGTATTGTTGGGGCAGCCATCCTTTATGCTGTGACCCCTGCTGCTGTCCGTGGAAATCTAGGCATCAACATGGTAGGTCCTCCTTGCTCACCGTCTTCTGAATCTGTGGAATTGCAGAGAAAGGCAGCTAGCCTTCCTGCCTTTTCCTTTTCCTTTTTGGGTACAAGGCTTACGATGGAGTTTCCCAAACTATTTATTGCTGGACTTCAACTCCAAGAACCCTCATCAGTGGGGCCCATAGAAGGCAAATCTCGGAGCTCCAGTTCACCAGCATCTAGCAAATTGCATTTTGGACACGAGTTTAAATAGCAGGGAACTGAGGCATTAGCAGTGGCTTTAGAAGGGTCATCAAAGCAAAGCATGGTAGGTAGCCCCTGCCCTGCCCTTTATTGAAGCTTATGGCTCTAGAGGAGATGCCACCAAGCTGGTGCCTCCTAGATGTGTTGGAATACACAGCTGCCATCGTTTCCAGGCAGCCTGCCGTCTGGAGGCGATGCATGATGTAGGCCAACAAGGCTGGAAGGTGCTGAGTTTGAGAAGGCATCTCCAGCCATTGGCCTGTCCCTGGTAGGAGCAACCTCTGGAGGAAGCCCTGGAAGGAAAGAGTTGGTGTTCTCCACTGATGTTGGTCCCTTGTCTTGAAAGAGGAAGCAGACTGGGCCCACCGTGAGGCAGTGGAAGAAGTGGTCCCTTTGCAATGGAGTGAGGAGGAGAAAGAGGAGTCAGCTGAAGGAAGGGCAAGAGCAGAGGAGGGGAGCAGAAGGGGGCAAGGGGAGCACTTCCTGACCTTGTTCTGAGCAGAAACCACGGTGTAAGGAGTGGCAGCCACTCAGGATGGTGGGAGTTGTTGTGGTTGCTGTTGTCTCTAATAATTAAAGAGGGTGTTTGTCTGTCCACCTGTCAGAGCCAGAGCTCCAGGATTACAAAACCTAGATGCTTGAAATTTGGCATGCAGCCAAAGGGGCGTACACCTGGAAATTATTGGTTTGATTTTTAAAGTTGTTTATTCATTTAAATGTAAACAGCCTAATTCTTCTTATATAGTTAGGCTAGCACCATGATAATGACTGGACTTTTAGAGGGGAGGGGGGGGGAAATAAAGCAAAAGAGATGAAAACAAAAACAGAACAGTCCAATTCAGAAGCAGCCAGTTACTGAGAAAAAGCCTGGCTGAAGAGAAGAGTCTTTGCCTGCAGAAAGACAGCCAAGAGGGGGCCAGTCTGGTCTCCCATGGGAAGGAGTTCCACAACCTGGGAGAAGCAACACAGAAGGCTCTCTCTCAAATTCTCACCGAGCATGTCGGTGAGGATGGCAGGACAGAGAAAGGCTTCCTCTGCTGATTTTACAACTCAGGCAGGCTCATAAGGGGAAATGCTGTCTTTTAAGTTGTTTTACAAGTCAAAACCAGCACTTTGAATTGTGTCAGGAAACAGGCCGGCAGCCAATGGAGCTGTGACAGGGGAATCCTGTGATCCCTGAAAGCAGCCCCAGTTGGCAATCTGGCTGTGGCATTTCAAATCTCCTGAAGTTTCCAAATACTGTACTTTCCAAAGGCAGCTCCATGTGTGTTACCGTAATCCGGACAGGATTTATTTAAGGCAGGTGTCCCTGTAGATATTATTGTATATGTTGCATTAAAAATTGCTACACTGGGCTGGACCAGGAAACTTATAAGATATTGCTTCAATGGCCTCTCTGTTCTCCTGCCTAGCTGTTCTTCAAATGACATTCAGTGTTCCCCATCCAATGCTGAGAAGCCTTGTCAACTAAGTATATTATCCAACTGTGGAAGAGGATGTTGGCCCCTGTGTTTGAAGCCAACTGTACCTTCTTCAGTCACTAGGTGGCAGAATTCCTTCAGCCAGAACACTGGTCTGCTGGTTTACTGAGGGTGAAACAAGGGAGAGTAGTCTGAGAAAAAGAGATCTGGCACTGACTTTCCCACTCCTGAGGGGCAGCCCCTCTCATGGGAATAGAGTGGAAATCTCCTCCCAGTAGGGATCACAACGGAGCTGCAGCCTCCTGGGGCACGTGTAACTTGCCCAACTCCGGTACCTGTGTAATGCCAGCAAAAATAAATAAATAAAAAATCATGTTCCCGTGTCACCATTCAGTTCTGCTGGTGCCCTTTAGGAGTGTCTCCCACGGCTGCCACCACTGGAAAGATCAATTCTCTTCTGCTGACGTAACCATTAGCTCCTGAAGAGACTGGACGCATCTCAGTCTCGGATTTGACCGTTCCACCTCGGGTGACCTTGCTAGAGATCCAGACACATAATAGAGCCTGGTCTCCTGCTTCCCTGACACACTCAACTCTCTTCACCATGTTAAGGCATGTGTCTCCAAGAGAGTCACCTTTAGTCAGAAGTGACTTGATGGCACATAACAACAGCAGCAATTCTTATTAGTATCCTATTGCAGTTTTGTTCTACTTTGGGTTTCACAGAGATCTTCAGCTAATTGTTCAGGTTCAGGAAAACAAAGAAGGATTGGCCTTACAGAGTGGGTGTTGTATTAGGCTGCGACCACATTCTGCTGCCACTACTTCTATACAATCTCTGGGGGCAAAAATATGAAAGCTGAGGCAGCCCTGCTTTGGGCACATCATGAGAAGGCATAATTCTCTGGGAAAGACAATAATGCTGAGAAAGGCTGAAAGCAGCTGGAAGAGAGGAAGACCAAACACAAGATGATCTGACTCACTAAAGGGACCCACAGGCTTTAGTTTACAAGAATGGAGCAGGGCCGTCGAGGACAGGACATGTTGGAGAGTGGTGATTCATAGGGTTGCCATAAGTAGACCTTATGCCCAGAGTAGACCTTTGGCCTAGATGGGCGGGATAGAAATCCAATCAATCAATCAATCAATCAATCAATCAATCAATCAATCAATCAATCAATCAATCAATCAATCTCAGGCAACCACAGCAAACATTCAGCTGATAGCCTCTCTGCAGCCTTTCCCCATCAACACAAGATCCAGGTTCAGCACATTTTTCCCATGTTCTTCCAGGCTTTCTGTCTCAACACTGCCTCAACAGAGCTAGAGATGCATGATATTTAGGCTGGTGTTCTTCGTAGTGAAGGTTGATGGGTAAGAAGGTCAGAGAGGGAAGATTGCCTCCGTCAGGGCAAGAGAGGAACAGAGAGAGGAAACTGGAGATACTGGTTAGAGAGTGAGGAGGAAGGGCCATATTTTCACAATATGAAACAGGGAGAAGTGGAGGGTGAGGTTAGGGTCATATAGGACTTTAAAGACTCAGAGCACAGGCCTGCAATGTCTGTTTTCTCGACATTTGCGCATGCTTATGTGCACATCGGCATTTCTTAATATTGGTAGTCCATACCACCAATGTTGCTTCCAGTTTCAGCCTTTCCCCCTAGGGGAGCCAAATTTAGGTATGTGTAGGTCAGGTAGAACTCCCCAGAATGGGGAATTATGGGATGTACAGTTCAAGAAATCCAAAAATTCTAACTACCAAGGCTCCTTCCCAGGAAATTTTGGCTGAAATCCTATTGACTCATTATCTTTGCGTCAACCAGCACCACAGAAGTGGGAGTTCCAGGGCAGATGTGCTATTCACAGAGCACTTTTGCACGCCTACTGTGCAAAGGGTTGCAATAGGTACTACATGACTGGTTACACAATCAAATTACACAATTGTTGTTGCTTTGGCACAATGTCCAGCAAATTCCCATAAGAGCAGCAAGGAAGGCCAGGCCAAATCTCTGTGTGTCTCTCAAACTACTCTAGTTTTATGTTAAGCAAAGACAAACAGGAACCCAGCCATTGTAACACGCAGCTGGGCACCGTCAATGCAACAGGAAAGTAACATTTTATATTGTTAGTTTTTCATGTAGTTGGCTTTAATTGGGCACTAGGATTTCTTAAAAAACAAATAGATGAAAAAAAGATGAAGAAGTAGGAAATTAAAATGGGCATGGTAAACTTTAAGACTTCATAACCTTATATAAATAGCACATGGCTGGGACTGGCTACATGACTAGTCAAAAATATTTACACTCTGAGCTCTGCAAATAAAAAGCTTATGCAGCTATGCAACAGTCATTGAGTGGCACCAACACAGAAAGGAAGGCCACATGATTGTGTCATGTTGCCACACACTATACTGATCATGTCAAGATTTCCTTTGTTTCAAGATGGCTGGATCATCTGAGAGTGGGAGAGATAAGCAGTGATACTTTCTAGCCCCTGGGGGAGAAATCCTTTAAACCACATCTGGCCCTCCATATTATCTATTCCTTTGGTCATGTGCTCCTGTTTATTCATCCAGAGAAAAATGGATGCCCTTGGGTCCCATTCAGTGAATGTTGGCATGTCGTTGTCGATGTGAAGGTGTGCATTTTTCTCACTTGACTGAGAGTCAGCTTCGGGTTATGGACTGTGCTAGGGAGAGTTGCTCAGCACCAGCCCTGCGGAGCTTAGCTGCAAGAACACATGCCAGACGGAGTTGCCGCCTTTCTGTATTCTGGGGGTCAGTATTATGAGAAAGTGAACCAAATGATACAACCTCTTCTTGGGAGCTTTACGAGATTGTCAAGTTTCAAGCATCTCACCATCTTTTAGGGATATATTTTGGCAGGTGGAGAGCTGTACCTAGCAAGCTGTGAACTGCTTCCAGGTTTACTGAAGGCTGCAAAGTGGCTAATTGTTTCACAATTAGGAAGAGATCAGCATCAGCTTCCAAGTACCGAATTAAGAACTGAACAAGTGAATCAAAAGTTTGTTCCAGGCAAATGGAAAAAAGTTTGTTCCTGCCAATCAGGCAGTAGCATGATTTCTCCTTCAAATAGATGCCAGTGGTATACTCCTTGCATTTTTTTCAACTGTTGTTTTGCCAGTTGAATTCCTTTCAGTATGTATTGCTGTGCCATGGCTTCATCTTTAAATGTATTGACCCACCACCAAGTAAGTACTGTTCTTTCCATGCTGAAAACTTTGATTTCACTGACATTGCCAAGTTCTTTATGTCAGGGATGGTGTGATCACCCCCTTGCAGCTGTTTCTGGTACTTGCTGAAGGCTGTAAGTACGAGCCTTCAGCAAGTACA